ACACCCAGCTTCTGGGTATGTTTTGTGTGCATGATGATAAGTCCAGAACTAAGATAATTGGAGTTTATAGGTGACCTAGCTAGAGGGATTAGCGTTTTCCTGGTATGTGGCATTTACCTTGGATGTAACCCACAACTGCAAATTTATCCAATACAGTGTCTTGCTCTGAACTATTTCAAAACATTATTCCATTGTGGTTTTCTATATTCCTGTACATAAGTATTAAATAGCAGGACTTTTCTGTTTCCCCAAATAAATCTCATCTTTATGGTGGTCAATATTTTTAGTTTTGTGTTATCACCTGGAAACTATTACCACTGAAGTTAGTATTTGCATGCTTTATTTTTTAAATTAATGTCTTTTTATTTGCAGAGTTGATCCTTTTAACAGTAACTAACATATTTGAAGTAAACGCTGTGAGAATCATTTGTCAGTTACTTTCGGTTCTCGTATTTTTGTTCCGATACTTTCTGAGCATTCTTACTAGTGAAGTCACCTGTGAGGGGATTAATACTACAGTTATCACAATTTCAGTAAATCCTTTTATATGATCGTGTAACTGGGAAATACTTACAATAATTTTATAGCAAGACTAATACAGTATTTTCACTTTTGACAGTTAAAAGGTCTGAGAGTAAAATTTTGGATATTTTAAAAGAAATTATTTGATTATAAAAGCAACTTTATGTATGGGCTCTAGGTGGCAGAATTGTTCTATGTTCCTGAAATTCACGGTAGTGGTGAATTTAGTAGCAAAATTGGAAAGGCGAAGGTGTGCCAGGTTAATAGCAACTAGTATCCTCATTAGTGCTTTCAAATGAAACAAGCATATGGGTTTAGAATGGCTGTGCACAAGCGTAATGGCATGGTATAGCTGAAGTTCTCCAAACTCCACTTTATCCTATATTAGCTTACTTCGTAAAACTGGGGAGCCTGTTACGTTGCTGCTAGGCACTAGTGCAGACATTTTGAATGCAGCACTTAAAAGAAAGATGGGCCAGATTATAAAAATTATATTTATATTGAGTAATAATGAATCTTGTTTTGTAAATAGGTACCTCAAGTTTGTCAGAAGAATCTGTAGAATAAGGCATTATGTTTCCTGAAAGAAAATTTAAGTTGACTATAAAGTAACTTCACCATTATTAAGTGCTACTTCTATAACTATTAAAAAAAAGTAATGTATTTCCACATGCTACATTCATAGGAGAAATAAACTTGGATTATATATGAGGGAGATTTTTGAGCAGATTTTATGCTGTGTTGTATCTTCAGGATATTACAGTGTTGCTGCTCTTTCATACTTGTGAATTAGCCTTTGTTCTATTTGAAATTAAATGTTTCAATTGTCTTTCATACAATACTCTTGCTGTAAAAATTTAGTGAAGATAATACGGAACAAGCGAGGAGTGGAACTTTTTACTGAAAACACAGTCCACAAGTATACAGGGCTAATGTAAAATGCGATTAAAAATTGGTTACAACTTAGCTACAGGAAAGTTTTGAAGCCCTGTAAGCTATGCTGTGTGACAGTGTATATGCTTCTAGTTTTATATGTTAGATTTAATCTTTTATTTTTGTTCAGATGATTGAGATGAAGTATTCTTTTCTCTAATTTTTTTGCCTTGAGAATTGTTTCCTATGAAGTTGAAATCAATATTTCTCCTTGATGATCATTATTATTTTTATTTTATTTTTTTTACCGGCATGATAAAGCTGCTATTGTGTCTAGAAGTCTTTGCTAATGAACATTAGGGTTATGCCTAGTCGCAGAAATTAAAGATAGGTTGCAGAATGAAGATTGCAATTTTTTAGAAGAAATTGATATATTTTAATGGAAGTATTTTTATTACAAAAGGAGTCTTGTTAATGATGTAACTTCATTAAATCTTCCCCAGCAGAGCAGGCTGATCTTACTTGCTCTGGTATTTCTTCTCAAACAGCCTGGTGTTAAATTAACACCAGTGATAGTAACTTGACTTGGTGTGTGTTACTCACTATGTTGGCAAGGGATAGAGCATTTGTGCCAGTAAGTTTTGAGAATTTACACGCTGTTGTAGGCTTTCCTAAAGAACCTGTGTGACTGTTTTTTTTTTTCTGTAAGATGATTGACTGTGTTTATCTGACCATAGCTGCTGTTACTGTCTTTTGGCTACCATTGTTTTCCCTTCCAATTTACATCTACTGCATGGCTATTCTTTTTAGAGGCATGAGTGAGGATGGATGGAAAAATCTATTGCAATAGGGCTTTACTTAAGGCGATATCAAAAGCCTGATTTGGTAGTTGCTGAAACACTTTACCCATTTCCCTGCACCTGTCCCACCTCTCCCTTGTGATGAATTATTATTAGGCATAGACATGGTTGGAATCAACAAAGAGAGCTTTCATGGTAGTAGCAGCACTCTAGGCAGCTAACAAGAATCAATGGAATTGTCCTTTTACGTACCAAGGATTTTCTTAAGCATTGTTTTTAAAGCATGTTCAGATTTTTTTTTTTTTTAAGACAGTGTAGAGAAACAAGTTTTTTCTCTTTTTTTTTTTTTTTCTTTTTTTTTCTTTTCCTGCTCTGTCCCTCAGATCAGAAGCTTTTGGTAATAAAAATGTTACGCTTGGTATTAAGTTTAACTAAATGTAGGGCGGAAGCTAGGGGATTTTCATATTCTGAGCTCCAAAGGGATGAACAATGAAAACTTAGCGGTCTTGCAACTCTGCAGGGCTTTGCAAATCAGTTGGTACCTGCAGTGGACTTCCTGCTCGATCATTTTTCTGTCACAGTAATGTAATCCCACAGCCCCGACCAAGCCAATGAACAGCAAGATGATGATATTAGTTTGAGTGCTTGTTAAAACACTGCTGGTTTTTCCCCTTCCAAACAGATATTAGTTGTGGCCTCGAGGGACCTGCATTTTCATGCTGTGGAAAAAAGGCACCAGCAAGAACACTCAGTAATTCCATGTTTATTAGTGACTTCTCTTCAGCAGATGGGAGATAATGCTGTGGTGTTTTTGCTTTTGTTTTTTTACCCCCCAAAATTTAAAATTTGGTCCAGGACATGAAATTTCAGGCTATTAAAATCTGGGATGTTAAAATGCTTTTGAAAAAATCATAATTTGAAATTTAAGCTCACTTTAAGAGTATGTTAACTGTAGGTTTTATGGATGAAATATGGCTGTGAAAGCCTGTCATAGCTTCCTTGTGACTGAAGGAAGACTTTGCTTCTACATGGACAATCACTCTTATAAAATTTCTCCTTGTTATCTAACTAGTTCCTCCTGAATTTCAGAAGACTGAGTAGCTTGTCGTCTCCAAGAGACAGTATGTGATAAAGCACAGCAATGATAAGAATTGTGATTGATATACTGCCCACTCCACAGTTTGGGACAAATTTCTGAATTCCCAGTAAAAGTGTGTAGTTTAGACTTCTTTTCTGAAGAACAGAACTGATTTTGAGTATCCTCATATAATTGATATGTGCATGGCTCACAGCTCTTTTAAAATTTTTTTCCTCCAGGATTTTTCTGAGGAAAAAAAAAACTTCAAATACAGTTTTGTATGAGTTCTTTCAGTGTTTAGAAAAGAACTGTGTTTGCTCAAGGAATGGCTTTGTCTTTAGAAGTGGTTTCTGGTGGTCTTCCAGTTCCTGCCCCTCTGACCTGGAGGAGGTTGACAACATGCTGACTGAGGTCAAGTGAACGAGTGTAGAGCAGCTTTGCATTACAGCTCTCTCCAAATGATTTATATAAAATTCACCCCAGAAGTCTTTGTTTTGTAATTAGTGTATTTGCTCTGTAATGCCAGTGGTATCAATTGACACCCCTTCAGTGTTAGTATACAATACTCTGGAAGCATCTAAGAATTTTGTGAATACTTTATACTATTCTGAACCAGTAAAAAGCCATTTTCTTTAATTGATAAAAGGTTTCTTTTACTGATGAACTGTTACTGAAAATTGACGGTAATGACAGACACTGTGTACACATATCTCTGTAGCTTAAATGCGTATTGAATGGTAATATGGCTTTCAGAAGTTTAATTAGTGTTTACGTTTTTGTTTAGAACAAAGCAATCCTACTAATGTTACTAGGAGGAATGTGTTTTAAAAACCTCGATTGATACCATTTGTTCATTTGTGCCTCAATGAGTTGGTTATCTGACAAAAAACTGCATAAAGGTATTAGAATTATCCTGGATCACTCCCGAATCAAGGATTTGTGAATGTCATTTCTGTACTTGCTTCCTCCAATTTAAAATGAAAGGCTCTACTGCTTAAATTGCTTGGTGCCAGAGTGAAGTTGTAATTCAAGATAAATATTAAAAGAACTGCACCCCAATGTGACAGGGTTGTGCCTGTGAACCATTAACAACCAGTTGAAGCATGTTCTGCTCTGCTCAAGAGCCTTTCTGGGAAGCGCAGGAGGTGGCTGCCTGCCTGCCTTGCCGCAGCTGCTCCATGCGGGATCAGGGAAAGCCTCTCCAGGGTTCATAAGGACTCTTCCCTAAGAGCAGCTGAGCATGCTTGGATGGGGTAAAGCTTCTGGTAGCACACGGTTAGGCCGACAGAGAGGGTCTGTGCCCAAGACATCCTGTCAGGAGGCCAAAATTGAGCAGACAGGCTCTTTTTAGCAGATACATACCTGGGCCTCAGAGATGAGAGTTATCTTGGAAATCTGGAGTAAAAGTTTTTCCTTCTTGCTATAGCATGAAGAGTTCCAAAGGGATGGTAAGGGCATGGTAGGCAAGAGGGGAGTAGGAGATTACAAGTGCTTTGTGAAGAGTTTGGTTTACCTTGTGGTAGTGGGTAACAATGCTGCCTTAAAACTGTTTATGTCGGGATCCTGCCATAGAAAAGGAATTGGAAAACATCTATTTAGAAAATTGGTGCGCTAGTTTTGTTTTTCTGTGAAGCACAAGTTAACCAAATGGTATCTTCTACCTATGTTGCTGTTACATGAAACGCAGATAGTCAGCAAGGTTCACGTGTATCTGATATGTTTTTCAGAACTTTGCCAAGAATATTTTTGCAATCCTTCAATCAGTAAAAGCCAGAGAAGAAGGCCGAGCACCTGAGCAAAGACCTGCACCGAATACAGCACCAACGGTAAGAGCAACACTGAGTATGAAGGCTGTGACACCAGAAGTGAGAGTGTCTTGTCGCTATTAAATACAAAATTTGTTTTGGTTTCGTTCCAATGAATGCACAACTTTCAAGCATAACTTCACAGATACTCTTTGACTTAAATTACAGTTAATGGTATTTAAAGAATTGAATATATTGGTTTAATTTGTTCAATATGTTCTTGTTACTTAGATATTAAACTGCTAGTGCCAGCTTCTGCATCTATCAAACACTAGCAACATCCTGCATCTATTTGCAAAAAATGTATTAGATGAGACTTACTGCCATTTCAAACAAAACGTTTTGCTGTTTTTCTGACAGATAGGGTAGCAAATGTTTTAGAATCTGGAACATGACTCATGAGTGGGAACAGCTTGAACCAGCTTTCTTTTGACTGTAGTAAATCAGGAGGACAGACTTAAAGCTTTATTGTTTAAGTCTATCTAGGTAATAGACAGGATTTGTTTTGTATTGTGGTGTTTACTATTGAGTTGTATTAAACCTAATATATTCTTGAACTCGATGGCAGTCTGCTATAAAAGCTATTTAATCATACTTGGGTTTGTTTTTGCTGCTACTGCATTTAACAAAGAACTAAATTTAAATGGCAAGATGAATTCCAACATTTAAATACTTGCTTTGTGTTGAATTTTGTAAATTGTGCATGAGACTATTCAAGTGTCCTATTCAGAATAGTTGTGAATACATAACTGAGCCATCCACAAAAAAGATTGAATTGGTACTTAGTGTGCCTCTAGATTGGTGCTTTTTTAAACTTTTTTCCCAGAATGCCTTTTTTCCCCCAAATTTGTTTTTGTTCTGTATGTTTAGCAGAATTTTAGCTTAATCAGGCTGGCAAGGAACATTTTGTGTGTGTGGCTGAAGGCTTAATCATGAGTTGTCAGTTAACAGTTTCTTTTTCCCTCAGTAATTCTTGAGATAGTACAAAAACTCACTGATTTCATAAAACTTACAGGTCTTAGCTAATGTAGTTTGTTACTGCTACTTTGGTTTTGAGTAAGATTTTTGTCATTGTTCTCAGTATGAACTTCTGAACTCCATTTCTGCAAGATTTTAAGTGGATGTTGAAGGGAAACATAAGAGAAATTTTCAAATGCATTGAAACTCCTACAAAAGTGAACTAATTTTATACTCTTGAGCAGTTCCATGTGATACTTTATGAAGCTCAAAAAACATCAAATACCTTTTAGTATGTTTTACAAATCTTATTTAACCTGTTTTAGGATCCCACTCTACGAAATAAGCAACCTATTCCAGCTGCCTACAACAGATACGACCAGGAAAGATTCAAAGGCAAAGAGGGTAAGTTGATTATAATGCTTTTTTTAAAAGGAAAAAAAATACTAGGAAATGACACCGATGAGTTATAAAGTTCGGGTTAGGGGATTTTCTGTGCCATTACTTTTCAAACCTAAGAAAAGGCCAAAAAACCTTGTAACTATGCCTAAAGATAGCTTTTCCAAGTAATAAAGTCTAAAAATATTATTTATTGGAAATTATTTCTACCTCTTAGGAAGCAAATTGGAAGCTTAAAACCAGAATTTTTTTTGGGGGAAAAAATTGTTTGTTTGGGGAAGGTCGTACGCAATTAATAAAAAAGCAGAACTGCAAATATGACTGTCAGAGGCATAAAATGAAGTAGATTGCCTGTCCTCAAACAATCACAGTTATTTTACAGGTTGATTCCAGTAATTAAAAGTAAATATTATTAGCTTGTTCTCTCTCTTACAAAATTACAAACCAAACTGGTAACAGCAGTGCAAAATACTAGCTCCCTTCTGGAGAGAAAATGGAAATAATCTGTAATATTTAAGAATTCTTACTTATTTTAAAACAGGGTGGAAGGTTGAACTTGAGTGATGATTTGTCTAACTCAGATTTCTTTTGTCCCCCTTGCTTTTTTTTTTTAATCTTCTCTTTTAGTACAAGTTGTGATTGTTTCATGTTTGGGTCTTGCTGTGTTTTTATTTTGAAAGCTTGTGTTTGTTGTGGTTGAATGTTTTTGTGTTTCTCAGAGAGGGCAAAGCAAATTTTGTTACGCTTCTGAGTTTCCTCTTCCTTCTGGTTCTCATACAAAATCATTCTCTTCTTTAATGCAACTTCCTATGCATGCTTCTAGGGGCTTTCTTTTTCTGGCTGCAAGAGCTTACATGCTGCTAAATGCCATTTTAAACTGTAGATGAGCAATTCAGCTTGCGTCTTTTGCAGTATTTGGCTTTGTCCAAGTTAGTACCTTTTTTTGTTCAGGGAAACTGAATAGCATTCATATGCCGTGTATGTGAATTGTCAGATTTTGTGAAGTGCTGTATTGTAGCTGATTGAGTTCAATTTTATATTGAAATGACATGATCGTTTTTGCTATATAAATAAAAAGCAAGAGTATATTACAGTACTACTTGGATATTCAGTTTTGATTGTAACTGGAGAAACAAAAGCATAAAATATAACACCAAGGAGAATTTCATACCGTAAGAAATTTGTGAAGGTAAAGTTTTCCGTACACCTCATACAGGATAATGTACAAGATTTTCAGATTCTGACTGTAGCCATCTCTGAAGTTATTAAAAAAAATAATTTTGTAAGTATGCACTTAGATGCGAATACATCCTGTAGGTTTATGTTTTTTGTGTGTGTGAAACTTACTGTAGTCAATTTGGTCAGATGTTCTATTATATCCTCTTGAAGTGTGTTCCCTGTTGGCCCCAGTATACTTTTCAGTGCAGTGTTTTTTATTTACTACTATGCATTGACAATTGCATGGTGGGGGGTAGGAGAAAAAAGCCGAAGTACGGTATTCGCTAGCTTTTTCAGCGTTGAAAAATAATCTATAAATAGCATCCATGAAGAATTAATTGTTATAATAAAAGCCAAGGGAATTTGGGAAAGAAAGGGAAAAAAACCCACAACAAACCAACAACCAAAAAAAAACCAAACCAAAAAAACCCAAACTAAACCAACCCTTCCATGAGTATTTTTACTAGTACTTCTTCAGTTTGCTTCTGATAATATTTTAAATCTTCGAGACTCATGTATTTGCCAAGTTGTCTTCCTTCTACTACCTTTTCCTATTAAGAGTTAAAAATAGTAAATATCTATACTGGACAGTATGAAATAAAAGGTGGAGGAAGAAATTAATGAAATAATGTAACAGTTCAGATGTACCAATGCATATAATTTGCTGTGGACTCTTACAAGAAACATGGGTAAAGGAATGCTCTGTGTCCTTCTAGATGACACAGTTCTAGTAAGCAACCCATGTAGACAACATGTGTACTAATCAGGTGAAAGTATTTTATCATTTTACTGCATGTGTGTGGTTCCAAGAAGGAACAGAATATAACAGGTTTTGCATTGCAGGAAAAAAGAACCCAGAAGAGTTTGTCGAGCAGCTCACCAGTGTGGGTTTAATGTAGAAATTTCTGAGCAGAGATCAAAGAAGGCATTAAATGATTGCTGGGAAAAAAGAAGTTTCTGCCTGTAATTAAGAATGATGAAAAAATTTATTTGTATGTTAAGTGATTCTGAGAATGTGATCTTGGGGTTTCTGTCGGTGCTGAAATGGACTGGACTGGACTGCAGCTCTTGTTCCAGTTGAAAGGTTCTCTTGTGATGTGGTGGTTATGAAATGCCTGAAATGGTCGTATTCTACCTGGGTAGAATTAACATTTTCCTATGCCATTCAACACTGGTAATGTGATCTGCTTAAAATGTGAACTATACACACCACTTGCAACTGTATCACAAGTGAACTTGTTCCTTAAAGGATTTCTAATTTAATTGCCTCCAAAAGTAAGTTGTGGCCCCCGAATATTCAGTGCAGAAGGGAGACTGCAAGCAGAAATAGTCATCAATAAAAGTAAAATAAGGCATTTTTTGTTCCTTAAAGACTGGGGTTTTTAATAGTTAAACTCATAAGAACTTGAAATTACATGTATTTATGGAAAGCACGCAGTATTAGAGGTTTTGGGAAAGAAGTCTGAAGGAAAAGAAGGATGATTATTCAAGTTCTACGTATAATAATTTGCAGTCTTTATACCATTGTATCCATGTTTATTAGTAATGATGGATAACACCTGAGATAGTTGAACCCTGTAGATTTGTATCACTCTGAAGGGTTTCCACATCTTACCCTCTGCGCGTGGCTGGCTAGAGATGTGGAAGGGAGGATTGTATGATGTGTGTAACCATGTGTGTAGTAGTGATTTTGGCTAAAGACTGAAACAAAGCCAAGAGAGGCGATGTCTCAAAGCTTTTGTCTTTGTGTCTCACCTGTTGCTCTTTCCTCAGAGATATTGCTACTATAGGAAGGATTCACAGTAGTCCTCTCCTAGTTGCATCGTAGTTGCAGCTTATTGTCTGTCTGTGGTTTCATATAATACTACAGTATTCATGAAGATTTAAGTTTAGGTAGCAAAGAGGTGAACTGTTTTTTCTTTGAATGTTTGTGAGGTTTAATACAGAATTTTTCCGTTAACAATCTTGTTCTTAGCATTAACAATTCAAAGCTCGTAGAGCTAAGATAGGGAAGTTAAGAATTTTAACACGAGATACATTAAGTAAACTGCTGAGTTGCAGCCAAATTTCTCTGCTACTTGTGATGGATCATTATTTCTGATGTGGTATATCAGGATATCTCTCTGGTTGGCTTACTTAAAATTTTCATGCCAGATAAGACAGGTTTTGCTGCCAGAATGGTTTAGATTGCTTTAATAGTAAATGTGAGGGGGTTAGTAATTGTAAAGTATATTCTTGAAGAGCAAATAATGAGTTACACCTGCAGTCAATGGAACTGCTTATGCAGCCCTGAGTCAGGAGTTGGTAGCTTTCTCTCAAATGAGTGTCTTGTTACTGCAGCTTTCGTTAGCAGGAGAGAGAAATTTTTCCTTTGACATTCTTACACTTAAAGTTCTGTGATATATGCTATAGGAAATGTATTAGAATGTCTCTTGCAGTAGGACTTGTACGTCCTGGATATTTCCACAGTGGAAGAACATGTTAGTTGGCAGTGCACCCGTCATGCTGAACTGTTCAAATGGTTTGGAGGTGAGGTGGTGAACGCCCTGCAATTACTTTCCTTGACTGCTGTTTCCTTCCTGTTGGTTCTGTTTCTTTCATGCTGGCAGTCATGGTATCCTCTCTTCAACGTAGAGCTCTGTTCTGTGCTAAACTTTCTCTACTTGTCCCTTTGTAGTTTTATTCCTTTCCTTCATATTACTCCCTTTAGCTTTTTTTTTACACTTTATTAATGTAGCTTATTAATGTGCATCTTTACTAGTGGTATTTTATTCATGCCACAGACCGTCTTATGACAGACCGTAGTTTGAATGTCTTCTTGAGCAACAAGAATCCTGTGCCCAAATGTCGTTTGACACTTAGGAAGGTATCTCATGTCCTGTCCTGTATGCCTCAATGTTCGATATTTAAATACATATTTATTGATGTATACGGTTTGCAACTCAGCCAGCGGTATACCGAAACTTTGAGCAGATGTGATTGTTCCATAGGACATCGTAGGTACTAAACCATTTTGAACGCTATGCATTGGGTTTTTTCCCCAGTTTTTTGCGTGGCTTTACCTGAGATCCTCCTTTTCACATGCTTGTTTCTTCAGTAATTCCAACATGTGAAAGAGTGCTGGGATGATAACGTTGAAGACTAAACATTTTCGCGACCCATTGAGTACGTCTCTCGGTATAGATGGCAAAATAAAGTTTGTCTGTGCTGGTCCAAGTGTTTGGCTTTTAAGACATGTTCCAGGAGCGTTGTTCTTGTTTGTCTGCTATTGTTGTTGTCAAGGTGTCAACATAGCAGAAGCCAATTGTTATTTTAAAAAAAAAAAGCTTTTAGTCCTATTTAGTGTCAATTGGAGAGGGTCTTGCTGTACAGTCACATGATTTCAGTCTGTAATGGTGAAAAGAATATTGTTTACCTAATCCAAGCGTTCCTTCAGGAAAGCTTGCTACTGACTATTGTCATTCTATGTTTCAATTATTCTTGTGTTGGATTTTCAAACATAGCTGCAGTTTTTCAGAAGTATGCTTAGCTTTCAATCAGTCGTGTTAAGCCTAGGCAGCAGAGGACTATGAAGCTTTTAAACTTGAGGTGACTCTGGACCATAAATACTTTTTTTTCACTCTCCTATGCATTGTTAAGAAAGTTTCTTTATAAAGTATGTATTATTATAAGTATTTTCTTTTAAATTTTGTGATTTCTGTTTACACAAGGAGAATAGGAGAACTGCTAGCAGGAGATCCAGAGTTCTGAAACTTGTCTGCCTTGTTAGACTTTTATTTATTGCATTC